ATAGAGTTAGAACCCGGGGCACAGGCAACCGTACAGCGACAGTTCAGACTGACACAGCCCGAGCTCGACGAACTGAGGAAGCAGTTAGATTACCTACTGGAGAAGAAATTCATCCGACCGAGTTCCTCACTGTTCGCCGCACCGATACTGTTCACACCGAAAAAGGACGGAGGTTTTTGCATGTGCATCGACTACAGAGCACTGAACAGGGTTACAGTCAAGTCGCGATAACCCATTCCCCGCACCGATGAACTAATAGATCAACTGCGAACAGCACGGGTCTTTTCGAAAATTGATTTACGGGGAGGTTACCACCAGATCCGGGTCGAACCATCAGACTGCGCCAAGACAGCATTTCGAACTAGGTACGGGTCATTCGAGTACACCGTGATGCCTTTTGGGTTGACCAACGCACCGGCGACATTTCAGATGACCATGAACGAGGCGTTTAGGCCGCTTTTAGATAAATGCGTGATAGTTTACCTCGACGACATCCTAGTCTACAGTCGTGATAAGCAGCAGAATTTAGCAGATCTGGAAGCAGTGTTTAAAGTTTTAGACGAGCACAGACTACTGACCAAGGCTTCCAAGTGCGAGTTCTTTCAGGACAGGTTAGAATTTTTAGGACACGTTATTTCGGAGGCTGGGGTTGAAATCGACCCAAAGAAATTGGACACGGTCAAAGCGTGGCACCCCCCGACAAATATCACGGAGCTGCAGAGTTTTTTAGGGTTCGTTAATTACGTGCGTCGGTTCGTCCCCGACATGGCGAGGTTAACAGCCCCACTGACGGATCTGCTGTGGAAGGGGGTCGTTTTTACGTGGGGGGAGAAAGAGCATGCTGCCTTCTCTGCCCTAAAAACGGTTCTCTGTTCACCGCCCGTACTGCGCATTGCTGACCCACACCGCCCCTTCGAAGTAGTAACCGACGCAAGCGACATCGCCATTGGAGCCGTACTGCTACAGGATTTCGGCAACGGCCTACAGCCCATCGCATACGAGTCACGAAAGCTGCATCCGCCCGAGAAAAATTACCCGATACACGACCGCGAAATGCTCGCGATCGTGCATGCGTTCAAGGTCTGGCGCTGTTACTTGACTGGCGCAGACGTGACAGTACGGACAGACCACCGATCACTACAGTACCTCCGCGCACAGCCCCACCTCAACCCACGACAGATCCGCTGGCTCGACTTTCTCGAGTCAAACTTCCACTACACGGTCACCTATAAAAAGGGAGCATCGAACATTGCCGACGCACTGACCCGCCCTACTGCCCAAATCCACGCGATACTACTTGCCCAGACCAGCCCACTGCTGACAGGCCTATTTACCCACGGATACCAGACAGACCCGTTCTTCACAGGAGGAAACTCGCAGCAGTTCGCAGCAGCAAAATGAGTTTATTACGTAAAAGCCGGCACCGACCGCATCTGGGTACCGGGCTACACTTTACTAAGGGAGCTGTTACTACAGGAGGCACACGACGGGGTTACCTCAGGACATTTCGGAGTAGAGCAGACACGGCAGCAGCTGCAGCGGTATTACTACTGGCCCGAAATGCTGACCGACGTGCAACGACACGTGGCATCGTGTCCCACCTGCCAGCTCATGAAGTCGTCACGACAACGACCAGCAGGACAGTTACAGCCGATACCACCCCCAGAGCGTGCTTGGCAGCAGGTGACGATGGACTTCGTCACGGGGTTACCGGCTGGAGCAAGTGGGAACGACGCGATCTTGGTCGTCGTCGATCGGCTGACGAAAATGGCACAATTCGCAACATGCAAGAAATCAATCACAGCCGAAGAAACAGCTCGCCTCTTCATCGCCACCATCGTTCGTTTACACGGGATACCAGCAGCGATCATCAGCGACCGCGACACGAAATTCACCAGCAACTTCTGGCGGAACCTGTGGCAGCAGTTCGGCACGCGACTATTGTTCAGTTCATCATACCACCCCGAAACCGACGGACAGACAGAACGGACAAATCAGACCATGGAACAGCTCATCCGGGCCACGTGCGACGACCCGACCACGTGGGAACAGCAACTGCCACTCATAGAATTCGCGTACAACAACTCGCCATCTGCCACGACCCAACAGTCACCGTTTTACCTGAACTACGGACAAGACCCCACAGTACCCATGACCCCGAATCCCGACAACCCAGTCCCACGCGCGCAACAGTTCGCAGAAATACTGCAAGCAGCACGGACCCGAGCAGCAGAAGCAATAAAAAAATCAAACGTCATCGCTAAACGCAACGCTGACCGCCACCGCCGACCTGTCACTTACTAGCCCGACGACCTAGTTCTACTCGACACTCAAAACCTCCACCTGCCCATCACCCCAAAACTCCGCCCCCGATATTGCAGGCCATTTCGCATCAGCCACATGATCACACCCGTCACCGCCCATCTCCTCCTCCCTGCTGACTGGTACGTCAGCCCGTCATTCCACGTCAGCCTGCTTCGCCCATACATACCATCCACCAGCCAACTGCCTCGCAACCGCCCCGCCAGCATGACGACCGCCGACAGAACCAATCATCACGCCCGAAAAAATACTGAGCCACCGAGTACGTGACCCACGGGGAGCCTGCAGAATCGAATTTCTGATCCGATGGAAAGACCGCACGCCCACCGAAGACAACTGGGTCCCCCTGGATAGAATTGAGAATCACCCTGTCCTCACTGAGTATCTGCGCAGCCGAAACTTCCGAGATGTACACGCGCTCTCGTAAGAGGGGCCTCCTTGGGGAGGGGGTTAGTGTAAGGAAAATTCCTTTTCCTTACTTCGCGTCCCTGCCTACCGCGTACATGACCGTTCCCGCCACCAGCACCCATCCATGAACGTTACCCGTTCACGACGCGACCCAACCTAACGGTTCGGTTGGTAACCCGCGCTCCGGACCTCCGCCTCGACATTTTCCCAACCTCGGCGCTAGGACTGTCGCGCACCCCACTTTACTCATGACCGTTACCACTGTAGTTTCGCTATATATTCTTCGCTCATTGTACTCTTGCTTCGATAGTGCAACTCTCACTCGCTCGTTCAATTGCATTCGCAACAAGCACCAACAGAAGCTCCAGGCTTGTACCAGTAGTTTGTTGGTGCACACAAGATATGTCATCGTGACAATATTGTTGAGGCTAAACTGAATGTTTCCAACAGATAACCTGTTAAAAAATATGTTCTATGGTGACATAAGAAAATTCAGTTCCCTTACTTCTCACCTGTCTCTATTGTTTGTAGCTCTCTCACGCCTTTCTCACATTGTTTTTACCGTATGATTGTTTTGCCCCGGTGGCATCATCCTCTTTCCTTCAATAGATATTTCCTTTAGCATTGACACAACACAGCTATTGGAGAACGTTCTCTGTTTATACGCATGGATATGAAGCAACACACGATAGAATGACACCAACTGTTTACATTTTTGTTTACACCCATGATAGCTTTTCACCTTTATCTACCACAACCATATTGTACAACAGAATGACACTGAGTGTTTTCTAGCACCATCCAAAATGGTTCAGAGTGACCACTCTAGACGGCTTCAAAAAATGTATATTTTTAAAAGCTGTAACGCTTTTCAAAATTATGTATTTTGAAAGCGAAGTGGCTTGTAATGTAGGATTTGGCAGCGTCGAGCCGCGCTAAACGCCCGTTTTGGAGTACAAAACGTGGGCTGGAGGTCATTTCCCTCCACCCACGTCTCTCATTTTCAAACGGTTTAGCCGATCCCCCCCCCCCCCCCCCCCTCGAAAGCAGGATAGCCGTAGTAACATAGAGGCATATGATTGTTCAGTCACTCCATGGATTTCAATTGTACTAAACCCATTTGAAATGAGACGATGCCAATTGCCATTTGAAATGAGACCAGGCCCTCAGATATCAGTGTAAAACACGCTGATTAGGCTGCTTTTGTAGCTGTGAGGTTCGTTTTCCCTGAAGTTTCAGTATCTTCTTTATGTTTGCACTGATTTTTCAGTTTAAAGTATAGGACTACCCTGACAAATTAGTGTTTAGGTGTACCAGTAACACTGAAGCATCAGTGTAGTGTACCGAGTCACACTGATTCGGACTTACCTAGATGTGTATGGCACAGGGCTTGACGCCCAGATTTCCGCCACACAGTAGTAAACCTCTCACGCATGGGACTCGAACCCAGGACCTTGGCGACAGCAGGGCTAAATCTTAGACAACTACGCTAATAGTACTGGACACTAAGTTCAAGTTAATTTTGTACACTGAGGATTCAGTTAGCCATGAAATTTCACCCTGACCAAATCAGCATAAACTTAACCCCCAACGCTGATTTGGTCACTACTTTGGGCAGGGCACGCTGATCCATCAGCATACCCTGAAACCAATCTGAGGGCCTGAATGAGACGATGCCAATTGCTACATGCAAGAAAGCAAGCTTTCTAAATGTTGGAAACAAGTGATTTAAGCGCCTTTGTCGCGTCGAAACACTAAGTCATAAACGAAGCGAAACACAGCGAAGCATCAGCGAGTCAACCCTCGGAGGTTGAGCAACTGCTGGAGGTTACGCGAAAGTCAAAGGTCAGTGACCTTTGACCTGACAAGTACAGCACGACAGCAAGGACAAACAACTGACTCGCTATCGAGCAGTTGCCCGAGTCGTCTCTGTATCGAACCGCAAAAGCAAACAGTAAAACAGTTATTAGTTGCATCTCTTAATATTCCTTGTACTCTTATAAAAAGCCTTGTATCTCCTTGAATAATTAATATACTTTGCCCTCACATACCAGCGCAAGGTGGTTCACAGACTCATCATTAAACGCTTCCGCTATTACACTGTTCCTACTCTGAGTTTAGTCCTGCAAAGATCCTAAGGGCTTTTCTCAGCCCAACACTAAATAGGGCCAACACATCCACACGAACGCCAGCATCTCAAAAGCTCCCACAATTCCCTGTGCACCTTGTCGTCAACATACCGGTAGTACAGTTGATTCTCAATCGTAATGCTACTGACGGGTGTATCGGCCGCGGTGATCTAAAGGTGGAGCCAGAGCCCCCTGTGCTGCCAGGACCTGCATGGGCAGCGCGCCAAGCTGCTGCCGAAACTGAATCGACTGCTGCACTGGAACGGACTGCTGCAGATGCATGGGAAACGGCAACTGCTGCCCGTACCGTGCCGCCTGCTGCTGCTGCTGCTGCTGCTGCTGCAACTGTCCATGCTGGAGTGTTTGTTGTGAAGTGAGATACCCGCCTCCTGGGCGTGCCGCAACCACATGGTGCTGCAGCAGCACCGCACCTGCTGGCAGGTTGTGAGGGATCGCATAGGATCTCGCAGCAATGTGACCAACAGACTCGTGAGGAGCGGGAGGTGTTGTTGCTAAAGGACGGAAAGTCCCGAGATTAGGAGTGTGATGCTCGTGAGTGGGTGCATGGCGCATTGCCCATGCGCCTTGTAGAGGTGCAGCAGAGGCAGCGGCAGGCACATGGTGGTTGTCGCTTCGGTGCATGTTGGCCGAGCGATGGTAATCTGAAAAACAGGAATGGTGGGACAGTGCAGATAGGTTAACCGCGTAAATAGAGGATGGGTGACGGAGGAAACGAGAGGGAGAGTAGAAATATATTTACAAATAGAGATAGAGAAAGCGAGGAATGGGGGGAAGGAGGGAGGGGGGGGGAGGGAGGAAGGAGGAAGGGGAAGAGGGTGGCGGGGGAGAACAGAACAACAGCGCTCCACAATGGAAGACAAAGGTGGAAACAGGCAGGCACACGGTCACCGCACAGGCAGGCACACGGTCACACACAAGCACACACACGGTCACCGCACAAGCACACACACGGTCACCGCACAAGCACACACACGGTCACCACACAAGCACACACACGGTCACCGCACAAGCACACACACGGTCACCGCACCTGAAGTGCGAGCCACCTTCCGTCCCGTAGACTCCCTTGACACATAGTCAGACACAGGCCGCGTCCTCCAATCCTCCTCCTCCTCCTCCACCACACCCCTCCACCTATCCCCCACACCTCGCTCCTCCGCCGCACCTGCTCCAATCCCCCTCTCCCCACCATTCCACCGATCCTCGTCCCATCTGCCTTGCCTCCCTCCCACCTGCATTCCAGCCCCCCTTCCAGCAAATCGATCCCCATTCCATCCCAGCCCTTTATCACTACCATCAACACTCCATTCCCTCCCTCGCTTCTGATCTCTCCGCCTCCCTTCCCTCCCTCCCCTCCCCTCCCTCTCCCCCCTCTCATCCCACCCATGGTCCCTTCCCCGCCTGCTCACCCCCCCCCGGTTCCTCTCATCCTTACCCGAATCCTCCAGATCAACCGGGGAGAATCCGAAGAGGAGGTCGACGAGAGAGGAGGAGGAGGAGAGGGAGGGGGGCGGGCAAGGGGCGTCCATGACAGCTTGGGCAGCACGGGAGAAGGCGGCTGAGATGGTGATGAACTCCTTGGGACGCACGGTGCGCGCACAGTTGGACGAGCGGTGGTAGAAGTCCTCTATCTGTGGTGGGCAGGAGGTGAGGGGACGAGGTGGAAAGAAAAGCGCGAGCGGGGAGAAGGGAGAATGCGGCTGAGATGATGGTGAACTCCTTGGGGCGAATGGTGTGCGCACAGTTGGATGCCCGGTGGTAAAAGTCCTCTATCTGTGGTGGAAGGGAAAACAGTAGTGTGACGTGTGGGGAGATGGGATAAGGGAGAGAAGAGAAGTGAAAAAAGGGGGAGGTGTGCCGTGTGGGAGAGGGGAGAGGGGAGAGGGGAGAGGGGAGAGGGGAGAAGGGGGGGAGAAGGTGGAATAAAGGAATTCCAGTGTGGTGTGAGAAGGTGAGGGGCGTGTAAGAAAGGAGAATGGGGTTGCGGGGAAAGGATAAATTGGGGCCAGGGGGACGAGAGAGCTCCTATCTCGACACATCCAAGCACGCATGCAGACGCAGAGACATGTTTCCATCCACATTGCACTGCACTGCACTGCACCCATGTAGCCCTTACGCATGTGCACAGCTGCATACATGCATGCATGCATGCACGCACCCATGGGCATTGAATTCTCCCCTTGGGAAGCAGAGCAGAGCAGAGCAGAGCAGAGCAGAGCAGGGAAGAGCCACTCACAACACAACCATGATAGGGACTCCCGGGGTGTAGCAGAAGCTGAGCAGATAAAGCTAATGGGCCCGGGAAGGGAAGGTACTCACAGCCATGACAGTAACATGATTCTCCTGGGGGAAGTCTCGCGGTATCCACCTTCCCTCGTACACACTGGCACATAGCGTGTGCGCCCAGAGGTCCTCCTGTGCTGCCATCTGGGAACATAAAAACCGCAAGACAAGAGATGACCCATGAGGCGCCGCAACAGTACACACTGCCACATAGCATGTGCGATGTGTGCCCAGAGGTCCTCCTGTGCTGAAGTTTGGCGATGAGTTGTGGCGCAACGGGAAGGAAAGCGAGGAGGCGAATAAGGAGGACATACATGAGCCCAGGCAGGGCTACGAAACACGGGATCACGTGCAGTAAGCACAAAATTGCATGTCGGGAGCACGGGCTTATCGCAGGGAGCAAGGGAGAAAAATGAGGGAGACAGAAAGAGTGATGGCCGCTGCCTTAAGGTGAGTTAATAAAAGCAGACGTGGTGGAAAAGGGTGAAGCAAATGACTGGCTGGCCTACGTGGTGGCAGTGTCACAACTGTGTGAAGAGAGCTCAAAAGACGGCTGGGTCTGTGTGCAGTCTCACAGGTAGGAGAAGAGAGTAAGGCGAGCCCTGTGCAACGAACTGGCATGTGTCGCAAAGATAATCTCCCTCTGGTTCTGCTAAGAACATTCATTCTCAGCCAAAAAACAGCTCCCTCTTTGAAAACGTCTCCTGCACTGAGCACCACCCGCCCTCTACTGAACCAACCCCACACCCACAGCAACCTGAACAAAGAAGGAAGCTAGCAGGTGCGGCAGAGACTCCGTGTTCCGCTTCCCATAGCCCTGCTCCGCCATCTGTGCTGCCCTGCCCTCCGCATGTGCCAGCCGATCCATTAGCTCCTGCTCTGGCAGGGGGACAGCGTCACGCCCACTGGCTGGGAATGGACAGGAGGGAGAGAGAAAGGGCGGCAGGAGGAGTGGTGGTGGTTTCAGAGGAGCCTCAATCGTCGTCTCAATGTTCTGAGGTGCCTCAGAGAATCACCAGTGTTTTGCTCCGGCAAGGGGGCAGCGTCACACCTGCTGGCTGGGGAGGGACAGATGGGAGAGAGAGGACGGCAGAGCATGCAGCATGCAACACGCATGGGTGGCATGTATAGGGCAAGCGGGGAGGGATGGATTGATGTGCCCTGTGCGCACCAGGCGTGGTGGCTGGTTGATTGACCATCATCCTAAGAGGTCGGTTGATTTGATTCAACGAGAGGCGTTAGACTGCTGCAAAGGGGAGAAAGGGTGGTGACGAGCAGAGCAAGCAACGGGTTTGAGATGCAGAGGGCAGGAGAGGGGAGAGGAGCGAAGAGAAGAGAGGAGGGAGGAGAGGAGGGGAGGAGAGGAGGGGAGGAGAGGAGTGGAGGAGAGATGAGAGGAGAGGAGGGTTATAAGACGTACTCAGAGGCTCTGGAAAGGGGCCCATGATGTCTTTGAAAGGCGGCAGGATTGGGGGAGAGCGAGTCTGAGGCGGTATGCGGGAGATACAGTGGGGAAAAAAAGGGGAGGGAGGAGAGACGGGGCGAGAGAAGGGGGGGGATGGGTGAGAAGAGATACATGGGAAAGGGGGAGAACAGACGGGGAGAGCGCATGGGGGGAAGGGGACGGACCGCTAACACATGCAGCGGGTGTGAGGGAGGGGGAGGACGGGAGGGCGGGGGGGGAAAGGGAGTCATGGGGAAAGAAGGGGGAAGATGGAAAACAAGAATAGAGAAGCAGGAAGTATGAACCAGAGAGCGGATGAGCAGAGAATGTAGAAGGGGGAGCAGGAGCAGGGAGTGAAGCTGCAGCCTGCTGGTACACAACACATTGAGCTTAATGGGTGCACTTCATGTGCGAGAGGCATTAAGGTTGGCAGAAAGAAGCTGCGAAGGGGGCGACGTGAGGAAGCGGGACAAGAATCACCTTGCAAGCACACATTCAGAACGAAACCAGAAAAAAAAGGGGACAGAATAAGGTATTGTATCCTTTCAGCCTGCATGCTGAATCATATTTCGACCTTTCTTGCAACTCATACTATGACCTTGTTCGCGCTTCACTTTCTGTGTCAACTAAGGGTAAGCTCACCTGGAGGTGCAGAGCCTAGCTTTGAGGCGCCTCAAAACTAGACAACTCAGGGTCAGTCCGCTCACCTGGAGGTGCAGAGCGCAGAGGAGGATGAGCGCAAGGGAGTTGAGGGTGCCGTTGCGAGGGTCGTTGATGGCCTCGTTGCGTGCCCACGCCTTCACCTGCAGGGAGGGAGGAGAGGGGAAGGCAGGATGGAGAGGAGGCAAGATGGAGAGGAGGCAGGATGGAGAGGAGGAAGAAACGAGATGAGGGAGAAGCGAGAGGCGGTGTGTGACTTTCAAGTGTAACTGTGCAGAATGCAGAACGGGAGAGAGGGATGACGGCTGAGCGGCAGTCATGGTGGGTGGATGGGGGAAGAGCCAGCCTTGAACTACAAAAAAAGAAAAAGGACGAGGTCCTGAGTGAAGGCAAAAAAGCAGACTGAGGAAAGCGTTGTCAGTAAGGGAGTAGAGGAGGGAGGTGGAGGACGGGGGGAGATACAAGTGTGTAAACAACATGCACGTCAGATGCAAAAGGTGGAGCATTCTAAAACGAGGCTGACAGAGGATGCATGGAGAGATACAAGGAGCATACAAACACAGATGTACCAATCCAAGATGAGCGCGACTTGCGCATGAGCATGTGTATGCTCTTTTTACGTGCGTCTGAGCATATGTGTGCGTGCGTGTGTTTGTGCATGCATGTGTGAGTGAGGTGTGTGCAAGCATCTGCATGCGGCCGAGCCGAGAGCACGCCCATATAAGGAAGCAGAGGTGCTTGCTTGAAGCGCGGGTCAATGGACCAATGAAGCCCCATAAGCAAAGCACACAACTCTTTGACAACAAGACTCTGCAAGCAGCTGAGCTGAGAGCGTGAGTGCGTGAGTGCGTGCACTTTTGAGAATCCTCAAAAGCCTCTCAGCTGAGAGCGTGAGTGCGTACAAGGAAGCAGAGGTGCTTGAAGCGCGGGTCAATGGAGGAGACGAAGCGGATGAAGCGGGACTTGAAGAAGCCGTCGCGGTTGGCCACGGAGATATCACACTCCACGAGTGAGCGCGAGTGGACAAACTTCACCACCGGTACGATGGCCCGAAACACCACCTCCACCCGCTCCACCTGACCCGCTGCCTCCCGTAGGCCGGAGACGGGAGGGAAGGGGAAGAGGCGGAAAAGGGAAGGTGTTGGGAGGTGGGGACGTGGAGGGGAGGGGGGAGGTGAGAATGGTAGAGGGGAGGGTAGAGGGCAAGGGGTGGAAGGAAACGAATTGGATGAAGCAGGACTTGAATAAGTTATCGTGGTTGGCAAGTGAGCGCGAGTGCACAAACTCCACCACCGGCACGATGGCCTGAAACACCACCTCCACCCTCTCCACCTGACCCGCTGCTTTCCGCAGTGGGGGTGGGGGCAGAGGGAGAACGGAGGAGAGGAGATTTTTTTTTTAACGCCTTAGGAATCGCGAGTGAACAGACGTCACCACGGGCACGATTTTGGCTTGAAACACCACCTCCACCTGCTCCACCTAACCCGCTGCCTCCCGTTACCCGTAGACCGGACGGGGGAGAGGGAAGGGGGAGGAAGGGGGGGAGGAGGGGGGGGGAGGAGGAGGGGGGAGGACGGGGAGAAAGGGGGAAGGTGTTGGGAGGGAGGAAGGGGGAGGAGGGAAGGTGCTGGTGGCGGGGAGGAGGGGGGATGGTGGAAAGGTGTTGGACGGGTGGAGGAGCGTGGGAGAGGAGGGAAGGTATTGTGTGTAAGGGAGGACTGCACACACCCGCCACACGCCCGCCACACGCCCGCAAAGAATCATATGAGCCATAGCCTCACCTGTGCATTCCTGCTCCTGAACTCCCCCATCTCGCCCACAGCAGAGCTGAACACCTGCACGAGGAAGCGTTTGGGTCAACCCAGAAACTACCCCCAGCACCGTACGGTCCAGTCCGGTCCGGTCCGGTCCGTACCTCTTTCCATTCTCCGAATCACTGCTGCCACGCGGCGCAGCACAGCTATCTTGGCATCCCTCGTGCGCGGCTCGGCCATCATGCCCACAGCAAACGAGGGAGCGAGAGACGGCGGCGGAGAAACCTCCATTGACAGGTCGAGGTCTGAAGTGTTGGATGATAAACCCATCTCGTACGAGCCGAAGGGAATCAGACGCCCGGCTGATGAAGGGAGGCGTGGACGGGAGGGTGAAAGGGAAGGGAGGATGTGAGGAAGATATTTTGAGGCGCCTCAAAAGAGACAGGTCGAGGTCTGAAGTGTTGGATGATAAACCCATCTCGTATGAGCCGAAGGGAATCAGACGCCCGGCTGGTTGGTGGGTGGTGGGCGGGAGATGGAAAGGGAGGATTGGGGGGGGGGGGGTGGTGGAAGGGAGGCGTCGAAGGGAGATGGACGGGAAGGGAGGATCAGAGAAAGATCTATGTGTGAGTCAATCTATCCTGTGCCGCCCAATCCAACCATTCTCGCCAAACGCTTCCGTGCTTCCTCCACTTCCTCTGGGTGAAATTCCAAGTCAAAGTCGAAAACGCAACTCGATCCACCCACCCGTCCTTACCTTACCAACGCCCCACCCACCCGTACCGTTGTCCACCCACTCTTGCCGTCACCCACCCACCCTTGCCGCCGCGCACCCACCCTTGCCGTCGCCCACCCACCCTTGCCGTCGCCCACCCATCCTCACCACGAAACTCGGCGCGAATAGCTTGGGTGAGCACTGCAACAATGTCAGCCCGGGCGGCCATGGCAGGTGCGTCTGGCAGCAGACGATTCAGCACCCCACCCACCACCTTTTCCAACGGCCCCTCCTGCTCCCGCTGCCACCGCCACCGCTGCACCATCTCCTGCTCGCGCTGCGCGGCCAGCTGCGTCACTGGGGAGGGCGGTCAGGGGGAGATGAGGGGGAGGCACGGGGGATAGAACTGGGAAATGGGGGTTGGCGGGGGAGGTATGAGGACGGGAAGGGGGAGGAGAGGCGTACGGGAAGGGGAAAGGGAAAAGGGAAGGGAGGGAGAAGCAGAAGTGGAGGGGGAGAAGGAGGGACGGAGAGGAAAGCGGAGAGCATGCGGAGGAGAAGGGACGCGGGACGGGTTAAGGATGCAGTGAATTAGCCTGAGCAGAGCAAAGCAGAGCAATGAGAGAGATTAAGAATGCAGTCAACTGGTTCTGAGGGAAAGTCCCATAGTTCATCACTGAGACGTAACCTCGTTCACCCTACTCCCCCTCAACCCCCCTCCTTCCTTCTGCTCACTGCAGGGCGTTTTAGGAATTCGTATCACATGTCTGTTGAGATTTGATTTCAATCTTCTCAATTTCCACCGCTACTCACCGTCTAGTGTTCCGCTTCCGCTTCCGGTTCTTAAGAACGCCATAACTCAAGGAAACGATAGCCGAGGAGGGTAATTGTCGCTGGTTTAGTCGATGGGTGTCGTGAGTCTGTTTATTTATGCGCTTCAAAAGATGGTCTAGTCAGTTGACTGATACGATCTCGAACGTCACTGACCGGTCGCTCCCTCCCTCACTTGTAACCACTACGGTGGAATGGATATTAACTGGCCGTCAGGTCAAGGCATCCCGTCCGCGCTCCAGAGAAAGGACGAATATCCGATTATGAACCATGAACTATGAGTGAGACTCGATAGTCCGTGGCGGGAAACGAAGCTGACGCAGACAGAGTTGGGAGTTGAAGCCTGACGCGCGGAATTCGTAGAAACGGACAAGTTTTTCAGACCTTGAAAAACCAAAAAAACACAGTATTCCTTCTCCTCACGGCGTTCCTTATCCTTCACAACGTCTTTTCTCTCCACGGCGTCCCTTCTCCTCCCTGGCACAGCTTCAGTAGTACAAATCCGCTCGCACCATAGAAACTGCTAGAGCGCCGCCTAAAAGTTTGTCTGAGAGCTTAAGAGCTTCCAACCCGCCAAACGCGTGCGCGGAGCTGATACACATCTCATGCCGACTCGACTGATGCTGGCTGGAACTGAAATAGAATACTACGCCATTGACCGACTCGAAATGAGATTATCTCTCAACTTTTGTAATCTCGAGGTGCATTGCACGCTGATGCACCCATAGGGACTCGCTCGTTAGTAGTACTATAACAAATTGGATAACAATCTGATCCAATATATAATCATGGGTAAACCACATATATTTATGCTAAATCTTTTCCTATTTATGCTGTGTCAGGGTAAGTCGCTCGCTCGTAGAACAGGACGTCGCGCGATAAGAATACCTTCTTACTTTCCATGTCGAGGATGATCCATCATTTACTCGTACCTGATGCCGAGATTAACTACTCCGCACGCGCGCGCGGCTGACGAATTTACCGGTAATGCTCGTCCACTTCACGTGAGGCGAGAGGTTTCCCTCGATCGCCGTGGTGGAAAGGAGGTTTTCCAAGCTTACGGCATAGTGCATTGCGTAGGGCAAGTAGGCGGGGGGTATTCATGACTGCTTGAGTAGCGCGCGAACCTTCGTCATGAGCGTGGGATGGTGCGCCCAACGACGCCTTACTGGGGGTAGGGGAGAGAAATGTGATGCAAATCCCGTTTTTCGCCCAAAAAGTCTTGGATTTCTTTGCTGCGGGACTTTGATGCGCCATGTGTCTGCCATATCTGAAACATTTTATTTGGTTGTCGTTGCGTGTGAGCTAACTACAAGCGGATAACTCGTACGCCCGGCTCTGATATGCGACGTTCGCTATCCAGACGTATCGTGTGTCTGCGTCGACGAACGTTATAGTATTCTTTTGTCATTTTGGTTGAAGCCGGCAATGAGGAGATCGTTGTACACCTTGTACAGCATCAACCAGGTGCCAGGTTCGAGCAGAGAGGGGTGAGTGCGGCTTCGGGACATGTTGTGCAGACGTGGGGTTGTGTCGTGGTTCTCAGCTTCGTTCCGTCAGGGCGCAAAATGACTTAAGGCGCAAATATTTGGCAGTGAGGCAGCTGTTGAGCGCGTCATATGATAAGTACTCAAGGCGCTGGTGCTACAGGTTGTCAGTTGCGCGAACGCCGGGAGGCGGAGATAGCGTGCGCGTGATTCTTTAGGGGTTTGTTCAGGCCCCGGTTCATGTTCTTCCATCGTCGTCGAGAGCGCGAACGCGATGATTTTTTTGTGACAATGATGGTGAGATAGATTTCGATATTCTTGATGGTGCCTTATTTGGTGCCGCATGTTCCGGGAGAGGTAGTCTCGGCGGATACAGTCTTTGAATAATTTCAGGTAGCCAGAGGTTCTTCTTCGTAATAGGTGTGAGAGTACTTCGAGTTAGCCGGTGGATCCGATGGGACGTGGAGTTGACGGAGAGGAACCTTAAGCGATGGTGCTCCATGTTAAAGTTATGATTGTGGCAGCCATGGCTAGTGAGTGAAGTAGCGAGAGAAAAAGTTACACTAGAGAAAGTGTTGAGAGGCATTTGAAAGATAGGGTTAGGAAACCCCAACTGAACGTAAGGCGTGTTCAATGCAGAGACAAACTGCAAAGGGAACCTAAGATGAACCAGAAATGAAACTAAGTCTAAAAGTGGCCGAAAAAAAATATAAGGCAAAAATGAAATGCAGAGCAAACACTAGCCTACTCCAACACACCCCCAGGATAGGTGAAGCTCGGGAACAGAACACCTAGCGAACTGGAACACCCCCAGAAGTGGCAAGACGAGTGAGACCTAGCGCGCGGACGTAGAAACGGTGCGGCGCAGAAGGAGGGCCTTGGTGAAAATGTCAGCAAGGTTGGCGTCGGCGGCCACCTTGCGAAGGCAGAGGAAACCAGACTGCACCAGCTCGCGCACAAAGAATTAGCAGACCTTTATGTGTTTGCTTCGGGCGTGATAGACAGGATTTTCAATGAGATGAATCATGCTCGCACTGTCACAGGAAAGCGTCACAGACTGCTGAGAGTGAACAAGCTCAGCAAGGAGAAATGAGAGCCAGCAAGCCTCCTGAGCTGCCAATGTGCCTGCGTACAACTCAGCCTCACAGGTGGAAAGACAGACAGAGGATGAGCGAGTGGAGCGCCAGCTGATGAGACCACTGCCAAGAGCAAAACCATAACCCTGAGAGGAGCGGCGATCAGGGCGAGAATCAGTGTAGGAGGAATCACTGTAACCGGAAAGAACGGGGGGAGAAGAACCACCAAGAGTGAGTGCAAGATCAGAGGTAGCGCGAAGATAGCGGAGAACGCGCTTGGCAGCCGCCCAGTGCACGTCAGTGTGGCGACCGAGGCCAACAAAACGAGAGAGGACACTGAGGGGATAAGCAAGATCGGGCCGAGTGCACATCATAGCATACATGAGTGACCCAACAAACTTTGGATAGGGTCGGAACTCTGAGGAGGGAGCGGGAACAGCAGGGGCAGTAAGCTGATGGTTAGCGGGAAGAGGAGTGGAAACTGGCTTGGCCTGCGACATTTCGAACCGCTCAAGAATGGAGTGGATGTAGAAGGATTGAGAGAGAGAGATGGTGCGCGCAGCACGATCGCGACGAATCTCCATGCCGAGGTAGTGGCGAAGCTCGCCAAGAACCTTGCACAGGAGACGCGCCTGGAGGGCCTGCTTGACAGCAGCCAAATCGGCATAATCCTCAGCAAGCAGCACCAAGTCGTCCACATAGGCAATAATGTAAAGCCTGTGAGGGGAAGTGCAAATGAAAAGACTGGGGTCGGAGGTAGAGGTGGAGAAACCAAGAGAGTGAAGAGTATCTTAGAATCTAGGCATGAGTGAAGTTGACTATCGAGAGAATTGGTACAAGGAGAAAACCCTAAGGGGTTATACCCCACAGTATCTACCCCACTACAGCCTACCCACAAATATAACATATGCATATCTTTGACACACCCCCATAGGCAAAGTGGGGGAGAGCAAGAGGTCACAAGTCCAGTCAAGAAAAGCAAAGCAAGCTCAGGATGGATCACAACGTCACCACACACACTGAGCACAAGCAACAGGCCACAAGGCCAGTTCACATGCAGAGGTATATATGCAACAAGAACAGTACAGTGATCTCTACCTAGCAAGAGCAAGCATGCAGGTATATATATATAGATCAGAGTACAAGCAGAGTCTACAGCAAGTGTGGAAACGTAGGCACAAGGCCCAACAAAGTACAAAAGCGCTGATGATCACCAGACGGAAGTGCCTTGGTGAATATATCAGCAGTGTTGGCCCGAGTGGCCACGTGAGCAAGGCGAAGCTGACCCCGCTGCTGCAACTCTCGAGCCAGGAAGTAACGCAGAAGGGAGTGCGTGGGAGAGGGTGGGCCTCACAGGGAGTGGGTGTGTGGGGGGAGGGGAGGGGGGAGGTGGGGGTGTGGGTGTCTGGAAGGGAGGGGGAAGTGGGATGTGTAAGAGCATGAAAAGACTGCAACGTACTAGGCTCAATGCAGTGCGGTGATTTTTTCCCACATGCTTGTCGATCCCACCCCGTGTTTTCCTCATGGCAGGTGAGGGAAGAGAGCCGGCCGTCCATCCAGCAAGTACGCGAGGTGCTGATGTCAGCAGTGGGCGTGGAGGGCGGGGAGGTGTACGAGAGTGGCAGCGTGGTGGGGTACGGTGATGGGGAGAGTGACACCACCATGAGCCATCTGGACGAAGGGCTTGTGACCAGGCGTGCAGCAGACCACGCTGCACTAGAGTCCGCTGCTGCTGCTGTGCTCGCTGCTGTGGCTGCTGGCGGGGCTGCCAGGCAGACTCTGGAGGTTTATGATGGGAGGGTGCATGGGCAGGAGCAAGCCCGGCAGCAGGAAGGGGAGGGGGGAGCGGGGAGGTCGGGTGGGGAGATTGAGATAGAGATGATGAGTGAGGGGAGTGAGGAGGGGCAGGTGGTATAAGAGGCGGGTGAGTGAAGGGAGTTAGTAAGGAAGGGCGGGTTAAGCCGGAATGAGACGCATCAAGAATGAGGCGACGTGGAGAGGGAGGGAGCGCCCTAGATGGCACAGCACGCCCAGCTGCAAAGCTCCTGCAGTCCTCAGGTCAGGGGACTGCTTTTCGGGTTTGCTTTCTTAGTATGTTGAAACCTTTTTGGAGTTTAGGCTCCGGGGGCCTAGGTGTGTCGAAGAGTTGCTGTGTTGGGTTGTGTGCTGTGTCATAAGGCAGACATGGCTGCCTGTATCTACCGTAGTGGTAGCTAGGTGTATCTGTAGTGTAGAGGTAACTTATAGACAACTAACTTGTAGACTTGTCATGTAGTGTTGTCCTTAGTGCAAGTGCAACCAGCAGAGAAAACTAGAGAAACAAAAAGCGGTTTTGAAGGGGTAAATAAAGCTGCACATTCACAGAAACGGTGCAGTTTAATCACACTGGCATCTCTCCTACCGTACCTGTCCTACCCAATGTTATCTGATTCCCTACAAACAGCGTTCTACTGATTTCTCTTAAGAAATTCCACGCCAGTCATTACCTTACCGCACCACATACACTCGGTCATGACGCCCCGCAGTGGCATCCGCAGCAGAGTTGGTGGCCACATACGGCACTGGAGGGCCCCCCTGCCCTCCACCACTACTGCGGTACAGCCCCACAGCCAACTGCCCGTACCGCTGCAGCAGACCCAGGAATAGACTCTTGAATGAGCCTCCCACGAACTCTGCCTCCAGCACCAGCTCTCTCCTGAGTGGTGCACAGCGGTGCCGAGGGTTGGGGTGGGAGTTGGACGAGGAGGTGCTGGTAAGGAGAGCGTGGAAGGAGCAGGTGCGGCAGTGTTAGGAGATGTGGGTTGCTGCTGTGCTTGTTGTTGCTGTTGCTGCTGCCGGTGCTGCGTGAGAAGCTGTTAGAATCTAGAAGTGAACGAGAATGATGAAACTAGGCAGCAGGGTGATACAAGTAGGAAACCCTAGCAATGTTGTACCCCCTAAGGCTAAACCCACTATAGCCTACAGAATAGGAACATGTATAATGTTTGACACACCCCCATAGGCTAAGTGGGAGACAACCAGATGGTCACAAGACCAGTCAAAGCAAAGCAAAGCAAGCTCAGGGTGGATCTCAAGGAAACCACACAAATTCCGAGCACAAGCAAGCGGTCACAAGACCAGTTCACATGCAGTTTGATAATATAACAAGAGGTACAGTGATCACAACCTAGCAAGTGTAAGCATGCAGGTATATATATATATATATATAGAGATCACAGTACAAGCAGAGTCAAGAAGTAAGCAAGTGAGGCACAGTAGGCACAAGGCCTAGAACAGTACAGAAACGCTGATGGTCACAAGGCTGAAGCGCCTTGGTGAACACATCAGCAGTGTTGGCCCGAGTGGCCACGTAAGCAAGACGAAGCTGACCACGCTGCTGCAGCTCTCGAGCAAGGAAGTAGCGCAGAGCGATGTGCTTCGTTCTGTGCTCCAGTCTGTGCTCCTGACACAAGGCAATGGCGGCCTTGTTGTCGACGTACAGCACTGGAGGAGAACGAGGCCGCTCTCCCAGGTCGGTCAGCAGGTAGGTGAGCCAGCGTAACTCCTGTGCAGCCATGGCTGTGGCGTAGATCTCAGCCTCACAACTGGATCTGAGAACTAAAGACGAGCGAGTAGAACGCCAAGAAACTGAACCACAGCCAAGGCTGAAGGTGTAACCCTGAGACGACCGCTGCGTAGCCTGGTCGTCAGCCCAAGAAGCGTCTGAGTGCCCAGTGAGGACAACGTCTCTCCGTCCTCCAAGCACAAGCCCCATGCCCGACGTACTGCACAAGTAGCGCAACACCCTCTTAGCGGCATCCATGTGCTCCTTCCGGTGACGGCCAGGAGCGACATAGCGTGCTAGGATGCTAAGAGGGTATGCAAGGTCAGGTCGAGTGCAGGTCATCAGGTACATGAGGCAGCCCACAAGCTCTGGATACGGGCCACTCGGCTCTACGGACTCATCCGAAGGCAGAGCTGAGAGCGAGTGACCAGTAGGCAGAGGAGTGGGCTGAGGCGAGGAGTACGTGAAGCGGAAGCGCTGAAGGACCTGCTGCACCATGTGTGACTGAGTCAAGGTGATGGTGCGCTGTGCTCTGTCCCGGGTCCCAGGTCTGTGCACGTGTGTCTCTTCTGCAGCTCCGACTTCACGTGGGCGAGTGCCTCAGTGTCAGCAGTAGCAAAGACCAAGTCGTCTACGTACACGAGAACGTAGAACGGCGGCAGAGTGGTGTCGGTGCGTAGAAACAGCGACGGGTCAGCAGTAGAAGGAGCAAACCCAAGAGCAGCAAGAGTCGTCCTCAGTGTGTCGTGCCACTCACGGGGTGCCTGGCGGAGACCGTAGACTGGCCGCCGGAGGCTCCACTGGGTACCAGGAGGAAACGACCCAGTGAAGCCAGGTGGGCGGCGCAGCCAGATCTCCTTGTGCAGGCTGCCCTGTAGGAAAGCAGTGCTGAAGTCAAGAGAGTGGAGCTTGTAGTCACGCTGAGCGGCGACGTGCAGCAGAACCCGAAGAGTGGTCATCTTCGGGGTAGGGGAGAAGGTCTGGAAGAAGTCAACTCCCTCTCGCTGACTGAAGCCTCGTGCAACGTAACGCGCCTTGAAGACAGGCGGAGAACCCGGCGGCCGCTTCACCCTGAAAATCCACATGCCACTGACGATGTTCGCCCCAGGTGGGGGAACCTCGTCGACGTAGGTGCCTGTGGATTTCCAGGAAGCCATCTCTGCGTCCATGGCTGTCTGCCACTGAGAGGAGTAGGGACCCTCCATCGCCTCTGCGTAAGAGCGTGGGGTCGGGATGTCTGGTGCATCCGGGTCTCCCTCAGGGGCAATCAGCATGGACACGAGATGAGGTAAAGCAGCGGCAAAGCACTCAAACTCCTCCTGTCTGTCCTCGAGGACGTCCGTGCCAAGAGCACACTCACCCCCGACGGACGGAGGACAGACAGACTCAGACTCAGACTCAGCAACAAGGCTAGCGGCATAGTCTAGACGACAGGCGGCAGCAAAGTCAACAAGCTCAGCGACAAGAGCAGACGCAGCAGAGGACTCAAAGGTAGGGTCAGTGACAACAGTGGCGAGGAAACGCGTGACAGTAGGACTGGCAGCACGAAGGGAGTCAGACTCCGGGTCTGGACCGTCAGGAAGAGAGGACGCAGGAGGAGACGGCAGAGGGACACGCTGTGGAGCAGTGGAAGGACGCAGGGTCATATAGTGAGTGCCAAGGACAGGAGGAGGACGCTGACGCGGAGCACGACGACCAGTGCGGACAGCGCGGACAGGCGACTCTGGACGCGACTCAGGCGACTCTGGACGAGACTCAGGCGACGGAGGACGAGACTCAGGCTCACGACGCTCCGTAAGACTACTCGTCGGCGCAGTGTAAGGAGAGGGACCAGGCAGCGGAGAGGCTGGCTGTAACTGTGACTGCGACTGGACAGGCGGTGGACTCAGTAGGGGAGGAGTAGGACCAGGAGAGGGCGGGAGGCCAAGAACCTGCTGAAGGAGCGGAACGTAGTACGGCCGCGGCCGCTCAGCAGCTCCAGCAGCTCCAGCACCAGCAGAACCTCCAGTAGCTCCAGCACCAGCAGCACCTCCAGCAGCGCCAGCACCAGCAGCACCTCCAGCAGCAACAGTGCCTCCAGCAGCTCCAGCACCAGCAGCACCTCCAGCAGCACCACCAGCAGCACCTCCAGTAGCACCAGCACCAGAAGCACCTCCAGCAGCTCCAGCACCAGCAGTACCTCCAGCAGCACCTCCAGCAGCTCCAGCACCAGCAGCACCTCCAGCAGCGCCAGCACCAGCAGCACCTCCAGCACCAGCAGCACCTCCAGCAGCGCCAGCAGCTCCACCAGCTCCAGCACCAGCAGAACCTCCAGTAGCTCCAGCACCAGCAGCACCTCCAGCAGCGCCAGCGCCTCCAGTAGCTCCAACTCCAGCAGCGCCAGCACCAGCACCAGCTCGAGCTCCAGGGTCCGCGACACCAGTAGTGCCACTCCGGAGACTGCAGCGCCGAGAGTACCACTCTCGGAGCCGCTGGGGAGAGGGCAGCTCCCGCCTAGGAGGGGAAACACGAGCACCAGCTCCAGCAGCACCCCTAGCTCCAGAAGCGCCTCTCCTGAGGCTGCAGTACTACGAGTACCACTCCCGCAGCTGCTGTGAGGAGGGATCGCCTCCAGGCGCAGCACGGTCAGTCGCAGCACCCTCTGGCTGAGTACCCTCAAACGTAGCACTCTCAGGCTCAGCACCCCCAGACTCAGCACCCCCAGAATCAGCACCCCCAGACTCCGTACCCGCAGGCTCCGCACCCCCAGGCTCAGCACCCCCAGGCTCCGCACCCCCAGACTCCGCACCCCCAGGCTCCGCACCCCCAGGCTCAGCACCCCCAGGCTCCGCACGCTCAGGCTCAGCACCCCTAGCAGGACGAGAGTCGACAGCTACCTCGACAGGCTCAACCGGGTCTACCTAGGACACACGTGAGGGAGCGGCACCCTGAGGGGGGAGGGGGTCTACCACAGCAGCACCTGGTGCGAGGAAGAGAGGCGGGGGGGGGAGCGGGGCAGTGCGGTAGGGGAAGAGGCGGTAGTAGGGGACCGACTCGTCGAAAGTGACGTCCTGAGAGGGCAGGACACGGCGCGAGGTGGCGTGGTAAAACTGCCAACCAGACGCGTCCGGGACAAAGCCAAGGAAGACACAAGGAACAGCACGGGAGGAGAGCTTGTCCGCAGACGTATCGCGAACAAAAGCTCAAGATCCCCAGACCCGGAAACGCAACGCATCGCCAACCTCTCCCGTCCAACGCAGTGTCGGTGAAGTCTCCGGAACGGAGACACGGGGCCAGAGGTTGAGCTGATGCGCAGCGTAGCGGACCGCAAACGGCCACAGAAAGTGGGGGGCAGCCGCATGGATCAAGGAGGTACGAGCGACCTCCATGACCAAGCCAATGCGGCGCTCAGCAACCCCATTCTGCTGTGGAGAGGCCGGAAGCGTGAACGACTGCTCAATGCCCTCCCCCTGACAGAATGCCCTCAAGAGGTCGGAGGAAAACTCCCCACCTCTGTCAGAGTGCAGACGCAGGACAGGAAAGTCCGAGTGGAACCTCTCGCTGAGCTGGAGACGGGCAGCGCGGATCCAAGGGATCAAAACATCAGGGACTTCACCCTTGGTGCGCAAGGGGAAGACCGTGGTGTAGCGCGAGTAGTCGTCAACAACTATCAAGAAGTACCTCTCGTGACCCTGTCTACGAACGCGGGCTGGGCCCCACACGTCCATGTGGAGCGTCTGCAGGGGAGCAGTCGTCGGGGGAAACGAGGAGGAGTGAGGAGCGGCGCGCTGCCGCCCCTCGACACAGGGAAGAAAAGGAGGAGCTGGCGAGGGCGGGAGGGGAGGGAGAACCCTGGGAAGACCAGAGACAAGGTACCGGGAGTGCATGCCACGAAGGCGCTGCACTGACGGGTGACCAAGGCGGTGGTGCCAGAGGACGGTCTCGTGCGCCAGGGAGCGACACGAGCAGGGGGCAGACAGCTGACCTGACGCAGACGCAGACGCAGCTACCTGAGGGGACTCAGTGGTCAGTGTGTACAGGTCCGACCCCGGCTGCCGAGTGAAGGTAGCCAGGTGGCGACCCGTCCGAGCACACGTGCAGTGTGTCACGCGCTCGTAGGCAGGGGTGAACTGGTGGACACCCCCGTCCTGGAGCGCACGACCCGCCACCAAGTTCGTAGAGAACGAGGGGAGGTAGAGACCTGACAGTGTGCCCGACGGGACCGCAGGACAAGGGAGGACAGTGGAGGAGGTCGCAATGACCGGACC